TGGCTGCTCACTGAAGCATGCTGGATGACCGAGCTTGCTGTTTTTCTCTTCTGGTTCCATTTTGTTTTCTTCTGTCTTTCTGGCAAACAGTAGGGGTGTTAACCCTGGTGTCCTGGCCAAATTTCCTTTTCCCTTTACCAATCATGTCTTCCTATTAATCCCCAACTATGAATTAGCTTCATTACTCTGTTCTCCTCACCACTGATAGGTGATAGCTGAGCTGGTGTATGGTGAGCATACTGGCACGGTTCAGCTGCCATAACATCATCCAGGTCACATTGGTGGTGGTGGTGGTGGAGAGGAGTCCCCCTTACCCGTAGAGTGCTTTGAGTGGAGTGTCCAGAAAAACAGTATATAAATGTAAGATATTTATATTATTTTCTCTTTCCTTCTGCCGTTTTTATTATTTGGCGCATGGTCCCAGTGTTGATGAAAAGTACACGAAACAACATGCATACAACAAAAAATGAGAAGAGGTGTTTGCATAAGATGCATATTATGAAACTAGAGATTGTATAATAATTATAATTTAAAACAGCTGGGTGAAGTGGTTTTGCCTGTTTTTATCCCTACTGAACTTCAATTCAGAACTTTCATTTGCTGCTTCCACAGTGCTAATTGTCCTGTTTTAAGATCTGAAAACTTGACTAATTAATAACTAATATAAATCTGATATAAATTAGGAATAACAGCAGTTACAGCAGAGATGCCTGTGGTATATCACTAATTACTAGGGGTAATAACTGATATCATTCTGCCCTTATCTGTTTTCAATGCAAACTTCTTAACTCAAAAACATTTTTCCCAAACACCTACTGAATCTCCTGTACCCCTCCCCCCCCCAGCTGCACAGTAGGTTGAAACTTTGTTTGCCAGTCTACAGGAGACATTCTGAAACTGCACCATTAATGGCTAATGTTTTGTTTATGCATGTCATCGCTGCAGCTTCTACTGTGAAAATGTCTTAAAGAAATGAACCATGGTGTCTAAAAATGATCCTTTTCACTGAGTCAAGATTTTATTTGACAGCATTTTTGAATATCATACAGTAAACAAGATTTCTGTAAAAGTTAATTTATCCATAGTGGTGCATTTCATAAAAATAGTTGCTCACTTACAGTCTTTGTGACTATTAATACATTTAATCATATTTATAGAGATACAGCTGTACAAGGTAAATACACAGCTAACACTACACAGTAATATCTATCTGAAGGGGGATCATGTAACGTGCCTTCTTTCACAGATTCACGTTTTAAATTACAGCTTGCAGAAAACAGCTTACATAGTAAAAGCTGAGAACTGTGCAATGTAGAGCATAACCCATAATCTCTGCCTCTTTGTACATAGAAAATATGAGAGCAATAGTAAGTTAGGTACGTGCACTACACTACAGAAGCATTGTCCAAAACTGGATGAGAACTTTTGTGGCAAGTTATACAGCATTTATAGGGTTGGGAGAAAGTATAAAGCAGTCCTTAGTGCTTGCTCTAATGTCTCCAGTAAAATATACCGGCAGTCCTTAATAAACTTCTCTGATGTTTGTGCTTTGTTTAATTTTTTATTGTGTGTTCAAATGTACAGGTTATACTGTAGCTGCAGGAACTCACCCATCACTTTTTATTTTAGAAAATCCTCAAGAATAGGTATAGGAAACTTTAGGTTTTACTGGAAGGCAAAATGTTTTGTTCCATTGCTAATTATATGCCCTATCACGGGCATCATTAGAATGTGTAGCAGCCAAGGTACTGTATAGAATTGAAGATGAAGAGGTTTTATTAATGCTACACAGGGGTATTCAAGACACAGCACTGCCAAATCAGACTTCGATACATACATATATATGATAAATTATTTAAGTCAAAAGATAATTCCTTAATTACATGTATATATGATGTAAAAACTGTTTTATTATTAAAGTAAACTTATTCATGTGAAAATTGCTTTATAATGCTTACACTAGAAAAGACTGAGTATAGTTGAAATAGTGTACTGAGGTCAGCTAAGATCCCAGGTGTTTTTTTATAGTGTGTTGTGGAGCCACATGAAATCAGGTCTACAAATGTCAATAACTTCATGCTGATGGGTGATTGCCATAATTCACCACAGACCACTTTAAAGAGTTCCTCTACATTTAATTAAAAAGTATCAGAGTTTAGAGACTGGTTTGTAGCAGAAAATGAAGACAAGATCTCTGGAATGTCAGTCTAACTGTTAAAATTCACACTTAGAAATAAATGCAAGAATGGATTGTCAAAAACGTGATCACAAACACTACTATTAATACTAAAATAAAGTACAGCAGCTTTGACAAGAACTATTTCAACAGATGTATTCTGGGATATCATCGATAATGATGCAAATAAACATCCGGGTCTTTTGTGTTAATTTCACTTGTTTTTCCAATTGAGTGTTCAACAGGCAGCATTTACTTTTTATTGAAAACTTCAGCAGTATTGAGTACTACCGCATATCTCAAGAAACAAAACTCTTGAGATAGCCATCCAATTCAAAGACAACTGTCCTGATAGCAATTCTTATTCCTCTATAAGCTACTTTATGAATGAAAGGCTTTGGCTCTGAAGCTATGAAATGGCACAGACAAAGTAATCATCAGCATCTGTTCCTCAGTGCTACAGTATAACAGTTGGAAACACCATGTGCACAGAGACTGGGTCGAGAACAGACACTGTTCCTGTTTCTTCACTATGATCCCTAGATAAATATTATTGCATCCACAAAGAGACACTTTATTTCTTTTGTGCATGACACAGAAAGGAGCCATATTACACTGTACCAAAAACTGATACCCACATGGAATAGACGCACCACTGCATTCTCATTTTACTAGAAAAGCTGTAAAGCTTTGTGAAGTGTATACTGTATGACCTTCAAAATTACAATCAATTTACAGTAGGTGCAGATTTAATTGATTCATTCTGTAGATTTAATGAAAATTGGTTTCTCTCAACATGCTTGTGTTGTGTTATTATAACAGGTTTAAAGATCCATCTTTGCCAAAACTACACAGCAGTTCAAATACTGTTTACATGAATTATCACTCCTCTTGTAAACCACGAAAGTTGTAGTGCTTTCCTACACGTTAAGGAAAAGTTTGACCTGATGAAATATTATCCATGTTTAAAATATATTTTAAAGATTAGACGGCTGCTTAGGGTTATCATTTTAGTTCAGAGACGGGACTCAAAAGACAAAATCACCAGTATTGTCTGCAATTTGAGCATGTTTTTTTTTTTCCAAATGATTACAATTACAAGAACAAAGTTACTAATTAGAGTGTAATTTAATATGAAATTAATATATATATTCATTGAAAATACCCTATTTTGATGTATCCGGCAACCCAGATTTTACACAAATGAGGGCATATTTGGTTGTCTTGAAATGTAGACATCATCAATGCTGGTAATATCATTAGATGAGAGACAGTTATCTTTCCAGGGATGCAAGAATATTACTGAATCTAGGGATCCCAGCAAAAACTAAGGAACAAGTTCCTTCTTTACCCCAACCTGTATTTAGTGTTTTCAAACTTCCTAACAGCAATGTATTTCTTTTTTCATGTACCTATACGTATCTGTAAGGATTGTTGCCTTCTCCTGTTAAATGGGTCTCGTGATAAAAAAAAAACATGCCTTCCTCTTTTTGACAGTGAAATACAGCTTCTTCGTCTCACCCTTCTGTTTATGCATGCTATGTGATAAGGTTATGGCGTACTTACTGTAGCCCATGTAGACCATTTTCTTTGTAGATGAAATGCTATAAATAATGATGGTGGGTAGCTGCGTCAGCATGCGTAGGCTGCAAAGGAACAAGTAATAGGTTTATTCCATGCTGAAAAAAAGAAGAAAGAGAACACAACGTTTCGGCCGTGGAGCCTTCTTCACCTGAAGAAGGCTCCACGGCCGAAACGTTGTCTTCTCTTTCTTCTTTTTTTCAGCATGGAATAAACCTATTACTTGTTCCTTTACAAATCATGATAAAGAGTTTATTTTGTTGTAAGAAATTATTCATGTTACACTAGTTCTACATTCTTTCCCTTGCTAATGCATAGAGCTTAGAACCAATTTAATTAGACGTTGCATAAAATGACAGTTGTAAAACCCCAAAAAAGATTAACTAAAAATTTGATTTGTAGATGAGGGTGATCATAATAGTGATATTTAAAGTTTAATAATGCATTTGATTATTATCTTGGAATAAAGCTATCACAAATACAGCTATTCCAGGATTTCAAAAACAGGTTTGTAGTGATTATTCATCTAATGGTTAATTATTGTGTTTTTTTTTTATTTGTCCATTTATCTAATTCTGGGTTGCAGGGGAGCCACAGCCTACCCCAGTGAGCAACGAGCACAAGGCAGGGTACACCGAGGTTGGGATGCCAGTCCATCACAGGACACATACAGACAAATATACACACCATCGCTCCAGGGACAATTTTCCTGGAAGCCAATTAACCGACTATACCAGTGCTGTACCGTATGTTGACTGAGGGTTGTGTAGGGGGGGAAACTGGAGCGCCCGGAAGAAACCCATGCAAACACAGGAAGAACATACAATCTCCATGCAGATACCACCCCAGGAATTTAACTCAGCCCCCCGGTGCTGCAAGGCAGCAAATCAAACCACTGTGCTTCCATGCCGCCCAGTATTGTATTTTTAAATGTTGCAAAAATATTAGTTGTATCGAATTTTAAAAATAAAGGTTTATGCTGTAATTGGGTATTTCGTTTCTGTTTACATTCCATTAATTCACAACTTGTTTGTCAGCTGGAAATGATTTTAATACATTTATTTATTACAGTAGATTTTTCTGATTATCAACAGGTAAAACAAGACCTGTTAAATGTGTACGTCTTGATTCAGGCTTTTTTTCCAGCCGAAATGGTAACAGCTTGATCAAGTGTAGTGATTTGGAGTGTGTGTCCTACTCATTAAATGCTTTCTGATTTATTTTTGTTAGACAGTACATCTCATGAATTTTGGATGTGCATTCCTTTATTACCTTAAAAAGGATGTTAGAGAACAGTTTTTGGGTACAGTCTTCATTACTATACGGGGCCCTGCAGCCCACCTTCATTATAAGGCACTCTGCCACATCTTAGTCACAGGGAAGGACACTGCTTGTCACTCTTTTCCTGGTCATTCAATCAATCTTTCACATTACCCACAATTACAGTTTGCCCATTCTTCACTGTAGTAAAAGGGGTGTAGATCAAACACTAAACAGACTAAGAAGTTTACAGCACAAGTCTATTTGTGTGTCTTGCTGGCTTATTTCATGTTGTTACCAAATGGCTGAAACCAGAAAGCAGGCAAGACACCCAGCAAAGAACGGGAGGTTTAGTACTGTATAATATAGAGTATTAGTATTCTACTTGTAAAGTGTCTCTGAAATACTATTATTAACCAATCTAGATATATATTGAGATGACTATATTTACATTATAATATATTCATATATATCTATGTTCTATATATTACCATTATTATAATTATTAGAGATTTCCTCCATGTCAGTGCTTTCTCAGTACAATTTTATTTAAGGCAGAGTTCCATTAATGAATATCCTCTTTTGTGCACAGTTTTTTTTTTCTCTTTTTCTTGATAACACAAAATGGCGCTATGAGGCAAATCCTTCATGTTTTTTTCTTGATGAAACACAATTCCTGTTGTATAAAAACCATCGTAGCACGTCGTTAACCTTTTTTTTGAATTTGTTCACTTCATGATTGGGACCCTCTTAGCTGCCATAGCCCCCTGTAGAGAAATGTAGGACTTAAAAGAGTTCCTGAATATAACTGGTTAATTACATAAATTGTAATCCATTTCGATATGCAATCTGATGCCCCCATCATATGTTATGCACATTCTGTTTCTTAAAGTGAATGCTTCCAGTTATTAAGGTGGTGGGTGTAATATCATCTTAAAATAATTTAAAATAGAATATAAATAAAATATATGATAGAAAACATGGAATATTCATCTTGCATCTGGTACAGGTGGCAAAGTGATGATGAGTCTGTGGTTGTTTTTTTGTTATCTGCTCACAGTGGAAGTTCCAGATTTCAGAGCGCTTGGCAGCTTGTCAGACCCCGGGATCTTCCATGGCCCCGGTGAAACGGTGGACTTCCTGGCTGCACCGCTGCCGCTCTGAGTGGTACGGCTGGAGCTGGAGCGGCTGTCGCAGGAGATCCTTGTTGGCTCTCCGTCACGTTTCTCCTTAGCCGGCTCTGTGGTGCTCCCTGGGTTCTTGCCATTGCTCTGGGCACCTCCGTTCAAGTCTAGCTTGATGCCTCTCGAAGATCTCTCAGCTGGTCTTTTCTCGCTAGCAGTGGCACTCTCTGCCTTCCTCTCCTTGGACCTTCCCCTGGTGGTTTTCGAAGCCTTGGGTTGATCCTGCTGTTCAGGAGCAGCTCCACGGAGCTTCGCCTGGTCTGTTACATCTTCTGGAGTTCCCTTTCCCCTAATCGCGCTACCTCCTGAGGTGGGCCTGCCACCTTCTTTCGACTTGCCGCCCCCACTTCGCTCGGCAGACCTTTTGCCCGAAGCCTGAACAGGCTTCAGCTGGTCTGCTTTCCTGGGACTTTGTGAATGTTCAGCTTTCTCCATGGATCTGCTGGTCTCCTTGCCACCTGCAGAAGGCTCCCTCCTGCGTGCGGTTTCACACTCCCCCTTGGTGTCCCATGCTGGCTCCAGGGGGAGCAGGTGAATGGGATCAGAGGGCAGGGCTGGATGAGATGAAGGCAATGGCATGGTCATGGTGTCAAGGCAAGGGGCTACTTCCGGCAAGGTTGGGGAGGTTGTAGAGGGAGCATCCCAGGGGGTTGGGCTGTCTGCTGAAAAACAAGGAAAAACATTTAGTGGTGCCACTTAGATTTAATTTCCCCCCACTACTCAAATAGTAGTTCCTATGAGGTTATCATTGGAAAGCTTCCCAAATTAGCAATAAAAAGTCTAAAAAGCAGTAACCTGGGCAACTCTGCCTTGCCATTTGTACTCATTTATTTTTAGCCACATAAAACAAGCACATTGATTGTGCTGAGCAGCTGTGAGTAATTCCCTCAAGAAATCTACGCATTTGACCACTTTAAGTTGTTTTTCTGAATGAAAACGGCTTTGATCGAAATCATTACATACCTTTTAACATATACAGTTCATTAGAAGGTTCATTTTAGAGCCTTTGTGAAAAACTACACAGTTCTTACCTTTTGCACATTTAGACACATTAGTATGCTATTTTTGTCCATAAAATAGAAGGTTAGATTTCCAAAAAAGTTCAATTTTTTAATATGGTACAATATGAGGCAGTTTTGTTACAATCAGTAATATAATAAATGAAATGAAGGTTTAGTGTCACTACAGTGATTTGTATAGATTTGTATTGACTAATCACTATCCTTTGTTTTCTTGGCATTCATGGAAATTAAAGAAAAGAAAGCAAGATGCTGCATTACTACATCCAACTGGTTGGGAAACTACTACAAAGGCCTACGGTCAGCGTGGTTATCATTCCAGAAAGCAGATCCCCTCATACATAACTGATTTCAGATGTTACCTTGCAGATTGCTGTGGGCTGTACATATTGTAGTTGTACTTTCAGCTTTTGAAATCAGATACTGTATAACTGATCTGTACAAGGCCACATCACCCGTACCCGTATATACTGTAACAGACTTTCAAAGAAGTTTATACTCACATAACTGTTAGTGTCTAAGTGTTGTTCAGGAAATTATGTGTCTTTAGATATAAGGAGTGTTGAAAACATTTTACATATTTTCTAAATATTTTGATTGGAGTGTTTATTCTTAGTGTTGCAGAGTGCACTATCAAATGTATACTTCACGTCTTACAGCAGAAGATTGTAAAAACAGAAACTTTACTTAAATGTTACATGTTGCTCAAATATTTTTCTCAGGATTCTTTTACACAATATATCTAGGTTTCTGCTAGTAGCAGGTTTTTCTTACATCACTTATTTGCGCAAGGGACAATTATATTACATTGTAATGGCTTTGGTATAGCTTTCGAGAATGCAGATCTAATTATACTTCCTTCCATTTACCACATCATTCTTTATAACATACTGAACATTTTGGGGAACGAGTTGTGACTGATAGTTATTCATATTTTTTATCAAGATTTGTAGTTACAGTATAACTTGTGTATCCCTAAATACATCAGACCTGATTCTTAAAGTAATACTTTTAAAATATACTAGTATTTACTCAAATAAAGAAATTTCTTGAAATCCATTGGGTTTTAAGACCTCTTATACTGTATGTCCTTTGCTTATTATATCTGGTGTGTGTTTCCCAGAAACACCAGACGGTGTACACATTTGAGCTCAAATTAGATTTGATATTTTATGTTCTACTCTTCACTTCCGAATACTGCCTTCAGCTCCCCATTGACTAGTTGATCAGAAAAATAAAATCATAGAGTTAGCAATGAATACAAAGAACATCTTTATCAAAGTCTTATCAAAGGATTATTATGCAACCAGCTATGGTATGAAGAATTCAATAAAATTATGACTGCAAGAAATATCTGATTAAGAAACAACATTAATGAGAATAAAATCATCACAATTCCAATATTTTCAAAAACTAAAAAAGTGAGCACTTGCTATGATTAATAAACCATCTAATATGGTATTAGAATTCATATTTCTCTTCAGTTAAACATTTAATGATTATTCAAAAGTACCACATACAGTATTACGTTTTGTGGAGCTGTCCAACAATAAAATGTTATATTAAATGCAGAAAATATAATAGGAGAGTTTGCAGATTTTGCTACTAGTAAACATCCCCTAATATCTGCTGTCAAACAGAGACAACTGACAGTTCCACGACCAATCCATTTAGCAATACATTCTGGCATGTTTGCTAGACAAGGGCGATATACAGTAACAAAGAAATGCATAAACTGATGTGAAATAAGACTAGAAAAAAATAATGTAAGGTGAAAAATAGTCTTCTTTCAGTAAGAAACCTAGTAATTTTATGAATTAAGTACCCTGGGCAAAACTGACACAGTGCACTCTTTTCAGGTGGGGTGTAATAGTAATTTAATATAAGATCCTTCAGTCTTTAAATAAACCATGCATGTTGATGTTGAACACAAACAGCCCCTTACCAGCACCTTAATGCAGCCAGACAGACTGCAAGTCACAGTTTAGTTGCTGGCCTGTCACACTTAAAAGGTATTGAGTCTAAGAGCTGGAGTAAAAAAACACAATTACCGAAATGGAAGAAGAACCGAAAAAGAACAGAATAAAATTAAAAACTGGGGATCATCAACAAAGTTAGTTAAAAACAGTTTTTAAGGACTGAAGATAAAAATGGTTAATGGTTTTATTGGTTTAAATAAAGACACAAAAGTATTTTAGTAAGGAAAAAATAAAGTCCAGAGTGCATGAAGTAACCATATTTTAAAGTGAAAAGTAAAAACCATTATGCCAATAATAACATTTTATATAACAGACACTTAAGTGTAATAATCTAAACCAAGATCAGATCAACACTAATGTTTGTTAAGAAATTAAAAAGTCAATAAACCCCCAATAGTAAGACATTGCAGCAATTTATTAAGATTTGAATAACTCTGCCATATAAATAGCATTAAACCAGGTTTGTAAATAAAGTGTTCAGAACACACTGGCTCATAAATACTCATCTGGGCTAGAAGGATCAAGAGTGTAGGCTAGCCTCGTGCTGTCTAGATTTGTGGTCTGAACCTGAGATTTGTGGTCTGAACCTGATCTCTGTGTTTAGCGGAACAGAACCAGGCACACATTGGCCAAGACACCGGGGCTAAGTGAGCGGTGTCAACCTCAAATGGGCACACAGCAGTGACACCTGTAGCTTACATTGCGTTGCTTGGGTGTCTCTCCTCCAGTTCCATAGCTTCCCAGGGATCATTGGTAAACAGCAAAATAACATGTTAAGAAAGCAGAGGGTATTTCCTTCACCACTGCTCTGTAAGTATGAGGGTTACAAGGTGAAAGGGCAAGTTGACATATAAAACAGCACATCCAATTTGAAGCATCAAAACAAAAACCAATTGGCTAAACCAATAATTGTTAGTAGTACATATTAATAATAATGGAGTTACAAGAATACATTTCTTTACTTAAAGTACAGAATTGCTTAATAAAAAGCAGGACTACAATTTAATGAAAATGCTGGACTAAAGATTCATTACTGTCCCTGTGTTAAATTTCCTTATTTCAATGCAGAAAATAATGGTATCTGAACCATGATGTTCCTTTTAGAGGTTAATTACATTACACAACATACAGTACTGTAAACGCACCATAAAACAGCCTCCTTTCTAAGCCACTGGAGCAGAGAACATTATGTACAGTATGTGCTTTCATTTTTTACTTTTCACTTGTTAATATATACTGATTTATAAACTGTGAAAGTATATACCATTAAAAAATTAAAAGGGTATGGGAAGTACTTTCAGTTTTGAGGAAATCCATTCCAAGTGCTATTTTGTAAAGTGTTACAATATAAACACTAACACATAGTGTATATAAAGGAAATTTTATATAAAGGAAATTTCCTTAATTTCCAACAGCTTTTCCTGTTTACATTACATAGAATGAGAAGAGTAAAATAACAATGAAGGAAAAAAAAAACTATTGTAATTAGAACAATTAAACACCAAATATAGCATACACTTAAAACATATACAATAAATAAAAATTGTAGCTAAATAACTTTTAACACATTTATAAATATTCTAAATGTCATTACCCTACACTGCAGAAAATATAATACACAGCAAATTATAATAAAATCACTTAGATGCTTTTCTGACACAAGGAGTTATTCACAATTTTCAGTTAGAAAGCACAAGATAATATGCAGAGGATTACACACATGCGCAAAGGCAAAGCGAATCTGAAGTAGAAAATGGAGCCGTTGTGTGGAGCCTATAAATCGGCAGAAGAAAATTACTACACTACTTGCTCCATACAGTAAGTACACAATGTAATGTAAATTTCAAAAATTGGACATTTTTAATTTGAGACCCATGGGAGGTTTTTATGTGGAATTTTTTTTAAGTCAAGACTTACATAACCTAGGGAGACTGTGTGTTTCCTTGAGCAAAAAAATAAATCATGAATTCTCATGGATTGAAATTTCCATCTTTGCAAATGTTAAGTGACTATGCATAAAAATCATAATAAAAAGATTACTACAGCTACAAATAATAAAAACAAAACTTTTTTTAAATTGAATCTATCTTTATGACATACACTTTTAGCTCCAGTGTCCTATAGAGATCAACTAAGAAATCAGACTTAAGTACAGTATATTCTTCTAGAAGGTACAGCAAAACAAAAGACCTCAAAGAAATTGGACATTAAGTACTGTGACTTATTATGAATATGAATTTGCAACCTCTGGCAATTTTGTTTTGCTAATGCCTTGTCACTTTTACAGGCAAATAATCAATGCTTTTCTGTTTCAATTAAATAACGCTCACTTCTAACTCCCTATGATACAAATAGTGAAATTTGCCAGGAAAAATCATGTACTGTCTAAAGAAGGGGGAGAAAGAATTTGAATAACTTCTTCTTGGCCCTCCTGTACACAGAATAAACAGCATGGTTTGCAATGCTTTCACAGGACTTGTTTTGCCAGCAAAGGCATTCTTCTGAGAAACAATAAACTGCTTTCAGAACATGAGATAAGTGAAATGGTTTTACTGTCAGTTCCATATGGTAAGAGAAATCAACAAGGACTCTATCCCATGTATACCGGGATACTGAGAATTATATTACAGTATATCCAACAATTAAAATACAATTATATTAATG